AACATTCAAATCAGAACAAATGCAACCACATGCATGATTCACAGTTAGAGACATTTATAAGACTTCCTCAAGCTCTCAGTCACCCTGCTCGCTCACCCATACAGATCAATGCTTATCGTGTAGTCGCACTGATCGGGGACGAGATAATTGCAGTGCAGTGCATCCTCCATATGATTTTATGAGTTGAAATCACTGGAGCCGCCTCTCTTCCCGTTTCCAGCAACGGGGAGAATGACGACTAATTTTAGTGGAATTTCAGTGCAACTTTATCACAAGGGACAGAGGCCACTTCCACAGACTTGGGAGGAGTAAAGACACATAACTGAATGATTCTCGGAGCGATGAAGGCATTTAGACCATCTCAACATCTGGTGAGCAATCAGATTTCAATCCGTTTTGAATGCTTGCATGAATTTACACAGAGCTTTGCTTTGAGATAAGATCACAAAAAAAAGAAAAAATTAAATATATTAGAATTTGGACACTTTCAGCTGCTGTGTGTGAATCGAGCCAACTAAAGACAGGAAAACAGAGTTTGTCAGTTTTGTTGTTGCACAATCGTGTCTGAAAATACATTCACCTTGATGCATTTGAAACAGGTGGACTCATAATATCCTGACAGTCTTTTGCTGCACAACAATATATTTTATTACATTTTGTCTTTCGGGAGCATTAACATCTATCACCTTGTTCTCTTTTCCCTTATCTCTTACACACATACACACACACACACACACACACACACACACACACACACACACACACACACACACACACACACACACACACACACACACACTTTGACTTTCAATGACTAAATTTATTCCCAAACCTTAGTGTAACCAACACCTCATTATGAGCCTAACCCTCAACTCAAGTCCTTGTCCTAAAATAACTTCTGGTACAGCTGAGGACGGGCAGAGTGTCCTCACTGGGGAGGTGTTTCCTCGTCTTCCCGTCCTTGAGCAGACATTTGTTCCAACAATACGCATAGAAATACAGAAGACACACACACACTTTCTCATTATCACCCTGCACACTGAGCAAATTATCACTCACCCACCAAGCCTCATTAGCCTCTGCCAGCCTGAATGTCAACATCATAAACTACAGTGAGGGTTTTTATGACTGTGATTATGGCAGCAGGAGGGGAAATTAATTTGTCTGACTAAAGGCAGTTTCACGGGCCAGGCGCCTGATTTACAAAGAGATCCTTATTCATACACTTGGATTTAATAACTACAGCAGATGGAAAGAAGCTGAGAGAAAACTGAAGGTTATGTCAATGTCACATTAAGTGCTTAATGTCACATTATCAGAATGTCATAACTTTGACTTTTATAACTTTGGTGACCAGGGGTTCTGCCTTTACCATGCAGGAGTAGCTTGGGACACTGTGGAAAAGAGGCTGGAGCAGGACTAATGCAGTGGAAGTAGAGCACATGTGCTCTTCTTACTCCTTTTAGAAGCAGCCACAAACATAATGTACCTTTGAAACATGATATTATATAAATAGATATAAGTATGTGATGTCCAGATATGTTCTGAAACAAAGATGTTGAAATTACTTTTTTAGCAAACTATGTGTTTTGTGTTTTGTCTGGGCTGCATTTATGTGCAAGTTCAAACTATAGATTAATGAATAAATCATGAATCACTCATCGGGGACTCACATTTGTTAAATCCATGAGTCATGGTTGTTTACATTCACGACAGCAAAAGAAAAGTTTCATATTTAATTGATTTAAGACCTTTCTGTCATTATGGTTGGTTTTTAAATAGCTTCAGTCAACACACTGAAGTGTTGGTATTTATTCACGGCAGTTTACTGCTCAGTTGTGCCGCTTTTTAATTGATTGGGTGGCTAAAACTGGTTTTGGGTGGCTTGTTTTAAATTGGGCTACTCTTTGTTAGATTTGGGTTTGCTAAACCAAGTCTATGAATGAAATGTAACACCAGTAAGTCAGTGAGGTATAGTGCTTCATATGTAGTGCACTTATGACACACGGTTTAATTTAACTTATCACATAATCAAATGTTAGACTGACTTTATGATTAGTTTCATCATGTTGAGAAGATGAAGCAGAAGCTAAACATCTAGCTAAGCAGTATTATTGGACGATAACATGGATGTAGTTGGTTGTAATTAACGTAGAATTCAGCAGCATAGGTGATTGAACACAAGTAGTTTGTATTGTGAATGATTTTATTTAGTTATTTGTGTCGAGCAAATGAAGCAGCATTATAAAATCCATTCAGAGGATAAGTTGCAGTGCAGGAGGAGGTCAAGGTAAGCTAATAAGCCAGGCTATAACATAGCTAAGCTAGCTTTCATTTCCACCAGCACTGTGGAAGCAGCAGAAGCTGTCCAAGTGTAACAGCCTGACTTTGTCATGTTTCTTTGCAAATGAAAAGAAAGGTCAGAAGAGTGAATGATGACTGAGAGCATGTTTTGCTGCTGTTTCATCCCTACATGGTAACGTTAGCTAGGTAGAAAAAAAATTGAATTCACTGTGCTGCTCTGAAGCTACTGGCAGATACTGGCAACTTTTAAGGTGGAATGTTTTCTTGCGTGTTACTCAGTGCATGAGTTGATGCTGTGAATCAATCAATACACCTTAAATGTCAATATGACAACTCTGACCACTCCATTAGTTTTTATTTGTTCTCTTGAGTAACATATGCTTTAGTGATGATTGGATCTTCAAGTTCTTAAATTTCAACTGGAGTTGTTAAAGTGCAAATATTCTATTTCCTTACTTGGAGATAAAAGTGGCGAAGTGTTAGTTTGGTGTGCTCCTATAGCGCTACACCTGGTGAAGTGAGCCCATGCACACTGCACACTTTCATGTGCACCCTGAATGACAGGCACACAGAGAGGGTCAGTGGAGAGACTGACACTACAGGCCCGGTAAAAAACTTTACAAATTTCTTTGAAATCCCACTGGAATTTGCCCTGGCATGCAAGATGGTCAGCCCAACTGTAAAGGGCTTTCTTGTACCTGGGTCGTGTGTGTGGTAATACGCTAAATATACCTTTCTCTCTCCTTTCTTTCTCCTCTTCCTGGTTTTGCCACATGTCTCCACTTTACCCGTTGTTTCAAATTAAAAGCCCTCTGCTGAGTAATTACACTTGCCAACAGCGGTGGCAACAGCTGCTCAACAAAATATCATATCCCACATCAGACTTAAAAAAACAAATACAAATACATAATGACAATTGTTTGGATTTGAGCCTCTGACTGGGCTATTTGGTGTAAGACAAATCTCAATCTGTGTGTGTGTGTGTGTGTGTGTGTGTGTGTGTGTGTTTGTGTGTGTTTGCGCGTGTGTATGTCTTTGATTGTAAGGTGACATTGCTGCTGAACAGATGCCCCTCCCCTCATTAACAGATGTATCATTAAGTCATTATACTGCTGATGGGAACAAGTCACCTCTTTTTGTTTGCTGCCGTCTGTGTGTTCAACCCACACCGCTTCTCTCCTTCTCTCTCTGAAAGACATGGGAACCTTTAGTTTTACAGAGAATGCGTGTGTACACTGGATTGCAACATAAACAACTTCCCATCCCTCTATAAAATGCACATCGCCACCTGCTTATCTGTGGGAATACCATAATTACTCTGGGTGACACAGAGGAAAAGCATGCTGGTATTTTTTTAAGGTTAAGGGCTTAATTCATTTAAGTGTAATAATTTGAGGGGGCTGTTAATTTAGCAGAGGGGGCCCACACATCTGAGGGAAACCCCTGTGGTTACAAAACATTCTTGTGCTGTCAAAGCTGAAAAGTTAAGAGGGAAAGCTGCTTTGTTTTTACCCTACAAGTCAGAGAGAGACTGTTCTTCTGACAGCTGTGGCGGCAGTTGGACGCTGTTCATATGTGGAACTTTATGAATGAGGGTTAGTCAGTCTGTTTTCCTCAAGGGAAAAAAAAGTATGAAAATAAGACCAAAACAGCTTTTCTGAGAACTCTTTAAGTGGCAATAACACCTCCCTGGGGCTGACACCACCAGCCCATCCTGATCCACGCTGACTGGGAATAAGCATGTGGCACATCAACATTGACTTTTCAACGCATGCACAGACATACACAAGCATTAGAAAACTGCTCTCCGACATGATGTTATTCCGTGCAGATCTCCACTGATCACCACAGGGTTTTTAAACTCAAACGACCAAAGGGCTACAACTTCTTAAGGCTGTTTATGGCACCAGAGCTCAGGACATAACCTCAGCCAAAAGATGATTGCAGTAAATACACATGTTCTTCTGTGGGAGGCCGTAAGCCGAGAACCACGGCGCAGCAGCTGTGATGCAATCCGTAACTAACATGTCCAAAACGTGTGTTTTTGATTGACTCCACATTGAGGAGTTGTAAAGAGTCATGAAGACTGCAGGAGAAAAGAGACACCATGACTGATACTTTAACAAAAGAAGAAGAAAAAGATAACCTGTCTACTTAATAGCCCAGTTGACTTAAACGCTGATTCCAGTTGTTTGACAGCCTAACCTATCATTACATATAAACCAGAACAATTTGACCTTTTGTAACTCCCTTATAAGCCAACAGCAGCTGGGTGTTCCCGTCAGAATCATCCTGCTGGTCCGGGGATTCAAATTGGCAACTTTCCCATCACAAAACTGCATCTCCACCATAAAGGGACCTTATTGAGACAAGGCTGTGTGTGTGTGTGTGTGCGTGCGTGTAGTGTCATTCTGCTTGTTTTAAATGCTCGTGCCAAGCGTTTCCATGTCTCACTCTGAACAGAATTGTGGGTGTTACAGCCACATGGTATGTTGTACATGTAGCAGCATGTTTGTCTTCATACCGAGACATGCACACACAGCTGCTGTTATTTACATCATGGTAACAGACAGGAAACCAAAGGCTCCCACAAGAGTTTCACAAGGTTCATCGGTGAAGGGTGCAGAGAGGCTTTTTGTGGTTATTGTTACTTAAGAAGGAAAATGAGTTAAGTTTGTCTCTGTTTGTCTTTTCAGATCTTACAGGTGAATCTAGTGATGTCCATCCTGCTGTATGTGATGGTCCTCGTGTACCTCTATGGTATCCAGGCAACCAACATGGATAGCAGTCACCAGGGGCAACAGCAGCCGAGTCCCGACCCTTTAAACTCTCTTATCATCCAGCTGCTTCAGGCCGACCTGACGAGGGGGAAGACCAGGGGGAATCAGAGCCAACAGGGTAAAAGCAGGGACACGGAGCCCCAGGACACGCTGCCTCCTCTCCTCAGTGCTAACTTTCCATTAGAGGACCAGGGCGATGCGGAGCAGTGGGGGACGGGGGGTCGCAGCGGCGGGAGCAGTGAAGGCGTGATGGACCAGCAGGTGATGCTGTTGAACTCTGACCTTATCAGGCAGCACAAGCGGTACAACTCACCCCGGGTGCTGCTGAGCGACCGACCGCCACTGCAGCCGCCCCCGCTGTATCTCGCCGACGACTTTGTGAGCAGCGGACCGGAGGGCGGGGCGGCGGGAAACAAGACACGAAAGAAGCGTTATGCTGAGCACAGAAGCTACCGCGGGGAATATTCTGTCTGTGACAGCGAGAGCCAGTGGGTGACAGATAAAACCCAGGCGGTGGATACCAGGGGGGACCCTGTTACTGTGCTGGCCAAAATTAAAACTAGTGCCACGCAGGACATTAAACAGTACTTTTATGAGACGCGCTGCCGGACCCCCAGGCCCTTTAAGGGGGGCTGCAGGGGCATTGACGACAAGAACTGGAACTCGCAGTGCAAGACGACACAGACGTACGTTCGAGCGCTGACGCAGGTTCGCAATTCAGTGGGCTGGAGGTGGATACGCATAGACACGTCGTGTGTCTGCGCGTTGTCAAGGAAACGTCACAGGACGTAAACGCAACAACCCGAGCCCTGCTGGGGACTACCTGTTTGGAATTCTACTTCCTATGTAGGATTTTACTTCCTGTTCTCAATGCTCCCCCACCACAGGATTATGTGTCAAGGTGGTGCAGAGCAACAATCTGCTATACAATGATGCTTCTACTGAAGAAATCTTGGGTCCTTCAAAACAATATTTCACATTAACGTGCTGAAAATCCACAAACCGGCGCTGCACCGCTGTTATGGAAGAACTCGCTCGAGAAGGGGCAGGGAGGGAGGGCCTGAGTGTGTGAGGGAGAACTGTACATATAAATTATTTAAATTATATGAAATGCATGTAGTTTTACATGTTATTATATATACATATATATATGTTCGTATATATATATATATATATATGACGTATGAATATATTTGTGTTATTTATTGAAAGAAGTTTTCAAAAGGAAAAAAAAAATGTCTATAAAAAAGGAATGAAACAAGCTATGAACTCATTTTGAGACTATGATACAGAGCTGGGCTGCAAAGGTGCTTCACAGTAAGACTTTACATGTGCCTTGACCAGAGTGGCTGCAGAGCAGAGAGATATGACACGGAAGCTCACAGACAGCACCTGCCGCAGATGTTTTTTTGGGGGTGAACCTGAGAAGTGACAGAGCTGCAGGGGCCTGTTCTGTCCTGCAGCCCAATGTGGGGCCCAAATTCATAACATAATGACACAGATAACTGCAGTATATCAGAAGGTACAAGGAGTTCTGTGACCAAAAACACACTGCTCTGAGATTTGTGACCAAACATCGACTGTACTGTTATGTTGTAACACACCTCACGTTCGTTCATTCCACTCGGGGACAAAATAAAAGTTCTGGTTTTCCTCAGGCCACGTTGATGCTGTTCACCACATTTTAATCTCAACTGGTATCATGAGCTGTTTTTGTTTCTTCCTATTAATAAAATCATATATTTCTAAAAGTTGGAAACACTTCATTAACAAATACCCATTTCATTTTTTTTGGAAAGAAAGAAATATATAATAATATTGTGATGAAGATGATGTAGGTGAGACCATATTACACTGGTGTTACAAATACTACAGTCCTTCAAAACATTAGTTGTGGTCCGGCAGCAGTCATTGCAGAAGTCCCTCCCTCTGCTCCTGTGATAGAGGAGAGTTGGGTTCATTTACCAACACCTTCCTTTGAGAAAAAGCTTGTTCATGGCTTCGTGATGATGAGATGTTTTCTTTTAGTTTGTTAGTCTCTGTATTTAACATGGAGATTTCACCAGAAGCAACACAGACTAAATAAAACATGATGTTTCCCTACGTACGCAGCACAAAGGCTGTTCTGGTTTACGCTGAAGGATAAGTCTGGTGATATATTGTGGGTTTTTCTTATTGTCAACAGATCCTGTTAAAAGACACCAAAACCAACACTGGATTGATTTTAGTAACAAGTAGAGATGTCCCGATACCGATTCAGACACATGATTGATAGAATCTTTCTTTTTTATCCAATTTGACTGTTAATCAAAAAATAAATCAATTTTGAATTAAATAACACTTAAATAACACTTTCTACATTAGTGCCGCCCTGCCACATTAAAGCCTTACATACTGTACACATTGCCTTTTTACTGGTGGGACCATGTTGCGAAATTGCTGACTTAGAGCAGCAAAGAAGAATTGATTTCTGGGAAAACCGCTGTTTTATAAGAATGTGTAACTATACATTTAATAATAAATGATGTGGTATCCGATCGCTGCATAGATTTGCGTACTCACAGATATCCGATGCAGTATATTAGGCAGTATTGAGGGCATTTCCTATATCGGTATCAGGACAACTCTAGTAACAAGTACTGCCTATATCTTACTCCTCTGAGCTCCACTGTGGTCTGAAAACAATTGAAACACGTCAGTGAGATGCAATGTCGCACTGGCCATCATGTTTCTTCATTATAATGAACATGGGCACACAATACGCCAGCTTTAAACATTCTACCAGATGCAGCATTTACTCCTGTTTGAGAACCTTATGACATCGTCCAGCTGTTTTTTTTTTATTATTTCTCCTCTTTTAAAAAAGAAAATATTATATATATTATAATATATTTACTGAGAGATGAACTAATGTATGGTTTTGTCTGATTCAAGCATAATAAGTAAAGGTCCCGGTTGTGTTTTCCGGTCTGATGTTGAGGAAAGTCCAGGGAGTCCACAGTTCAGCCAAAGTGAGAAACAGTGATGGTTGATCAGAGGTCTGATCAATAGTCATTTATTCTGCTATCTGATCAGATGTTTCACACTTCACTTGTCTCGCCGGTTACAGCACATAGATGGAACTAAATCTTTATCAAATGGGGTCAGCGGTCAAAAGGTGTGTGTGTGTTTGTGTGTGCGCGCGCGTGTGTGTGTGTGTGTGTCTGTGTGGCGCGGGGCGTGGAAGAGAAGAAGAGAGAGGAAAGAAAGTGTGTGCAGGTGTGTGTATGAGTGTGTATAACAGTGATGCTGCAGCTCCAGCCTCCAGCTGCCTCGCATCATTTCACTCACATTGCAGACAGTATTGTTCTAAACAGATGGCAAGAATCAATTACGGGCAGGACTAATGCAAAACGGATGCAGGAAGTATCTAGAGGGACTTCTACAATGGCTCCCACTGTGTGCAGCACTAATGCAGGGTAAATGCAGGATGAACTCAAAGTCACACTGGTATCAGATACAGTATTTAGAGTTTGGACAATGCAGAGGGACATGCTTTCTATTCTTCATAAGCAAGTACATTACAAGGATCCAATCAGAACTGAAAAAAGAAAAAAAATATCCTGCCTCAAAAGAGGAAGTTTCAGACGTAGTGAAAAGGAAAAGCTCAGAGACAAACCTGATCTCTTGTCAACGACCATATCCGTGGTGAAAATGGTACAACCCTCTGAGAGCAAAGTGGGAGATCAACGAGTAAAGGACGACCTACACGCAGAGAGACTCGTCAGACAGACAGGCAGAGGGAAAACAGAGGAAACTGAAAAAATCGACTTAAGCAAATCCCTGAATGCACCGTGAGACAGAAACAGTCCAGAGGCAATGAGGTTGACAAAGATATGAATCAGTCATTATCAAATTCCTCAGAGGTTACTGCGGGGCACAGAGATGCATGTGTTCACAGTAAAGGTATGTTGTGTGTAAGACAGTGCCCGAGGAGGTAGGAGGACTTCCAGTTCAAGAGTAACACACAACAGATGATTGCTTGTGTGACAGCAACATATGTGCTGCGTTACTACGAAGTATGAGTCAACAGTCAGAGCAATAATGGAGACTTTTCAAACGGACTCATTTCCCGGGAATAAAACTTTTAAAAAATGCATATAAAGTGTTTCAGGCATGAAGCGATCCACAGAGTCAGGTTCAGAGGACAGCTGTGGGATAGAAGAGGGGGATGCTGCACATATGTTTTGTTTCTCGCCATTATCTAGGGAGGATTGGTATGTATTTGTTTTTTGTCAACTTGAAACTTGAAAGGAAAAAGAAAGAAAAATCGACCTTTGAACACTAATGAGACGAAGGCGGGTAAGGTCCTTGTTTGTGCAACCAAAAAAAAAGACTCTTTTGTTGTGTTTGCATTCTTCTTCATGGATCATCGGCCAAACACTGGGCGTCATGTCCAGATGTTCCTAAGAGCTCAGATAAGAGTTTAACAGCAAAAGGTCCAGATTTTGGTGTCAACAAAACAGAACAAAAAGCCCTTTAGCCCTTGCTAAAGCTGCTATTGTGCATCAGTGGTTAGCACACGACTGCAAATTTCTCCTGGTAACTATACAAGACCATTAGCCTGATACTACAACCCCATCCCTATCATCATCATCATCATCATCATCATCATCATCATCATCATCATCATCATCATCATGACCAAAAATGAACACTACAAAGCCCTTTAATGTATTTTACATTTGCCCACAAGCTTGTTAGCTGTGGTTAGCAGGTGACACTGAGCTAGCATCGCTGCAAAACATCCTGTTAGATCACCAGAGCGCGACTGAATGACAGGCTACTATCCTCACCACCGTTATTGATGGGTGAAGTCAGTGGGAATTAAATGGACGCCAGAGCAGATAGCATGAAATGGGTATGTGAAGTGATAGAGGAAGTGACGAAAGAAGCCTGCAGCAGAGCGCACATTACACTTTTGAAGATGGATTTTCCCCCCTCAAAAGGCAGATATTATGTTGTTGTAGCTGTGTTCATTTTCCCTGAACCCTGATTTGTTCTAAATGTCACAGGACTTCAGACCCAAACACACCAGCATCTGTGATCTGGAGGAGGGTTGCATCTCTCAGTTGGACTGTAAATGTCTGTACCACAACACACAGGTGCCGCACAATCTATAAAAACCTCATACGCAACTTCCATTAGGTTCTATGAGCGTCTGGTCCAGGTATTTGGTTATTATGGCACTGAACTATGTGAACTCAAAGCAAACAGACATATTTTCTGCAGCTGGATGTGGACCAAACTCAAGCACTGGTTTCAGTCATTCTGAAGTCACTGGTTATCCATATTTGCCAGATTAAAAACATTCTGGGAGCACTGAATCAGAGTGTGACTGTCTTTATTTGATTGCATTGGTTTCTCAGTGGTGTGCAGCCTGCTGCTTATAATCAAGTGTATGTATGTATGTTTTGTTGACACAGTAGAAGCCAGTGTGAGAAATTTATCCTGCTGGTTGCTTTGTGTCAATTCCTTCAGTGCCAGCGAGGTATCCCTTGGAAATGTTTATTTTGGTCAATTTAGTAATTCCTGATTTACATCCAATGGCATTGTTGATTGGAACACAGGAAGTGGTGAGGTGGAAACTAAGGATATGGAGGTGAGGCTGGAGGATTGAGGTGAGGCACATTAGACACAAAAGCGGGAGACCAGAGTTTTTGTCCTGCCATGAATCTGAAATTAAAAATTTCCTGTTTAATAACTGTAACCAAGATCTGTCCCCAACCTTAACCAAGTTCTTTGTTCCTTAAAACCAAACATCCCTCCTTAACAATCCTTCCTTAAAGGTCAACATATACTATAAAGGTAGATGTCCATGTGTTGTTTGATTATAAAGCAGGTCTAGGTTCTATATTAATACTGTGAAAGTATCAAAGCCTCAGTCCACAGAGAAATGCACACAGCCTGTATTCAGAAACTGAGCCTTAAAACCAGCCGTCAGGACTTCTGTAACTTGGTGATGTCACATTAAAGCAGTCACCGCTCTC